TACGTTATTATGTGTTTTTAATCATTCTTGACAAGAACTATGGAAACATCTTACTTAATTTCTGCTTATTTTGACATGGTCTAACATTTTTTACACTAATTTGTATTTACTGAGACTAGACCAGTCACTAAGAATATCTGTCAGTAATCCCACTATTTTTTGACCATGGAACAGGATCAGGTTAGGAACCCTGAAAAGATTTAATTGGGAAATCTTAAGAATCTCTCCAACGCAGAACCCATATTTGTTTCTGTTGGCTAGCTTATGTTCCACATAGCTTGCAAAAGATCATGCCAATTTTTCTCGATTACTACTCAATACACTGGTTGCACTTGAATAAGCGTTTGAGAACCATGACTATAGTTAATACAATATGTAAGATTTATAAAGATTAAGATTTAATGCAATGAAGAATGAATTAATGGGGAACCAAACAATATTAATCCACAGTCCCATGCATCTTCCTATTAACAGTTTCACATAGCATCAAGGAACTTATCTGAAGGTTATTGTTTTATCTTTTCAATGTGGTTTGAGTATTCAAAACTCTTTATATGTAACATATTGTATGTACAATGCACTGTGTTCGGCTTCATATTTGTCAAACGTACCCTTTTCAGTAAATCCCCATTGAATTCATGAAAAGATGCTTCTGATACGACTTTTAAATGTTAACATCTGTATTGACATTAGTTTACCTTTGATGCACCATTGTCTGTGTTCCTTTCGATGGATCACTGCCTGTCCATCTGCAAAACTACCTACACTCTAAGTATCTACATTCCCTTCAGACCTTTCAGACTTGACATTTTCTAGAAAAAAAGGAAAGAACTACATGCAGCTTTTATAGCAAATTATGGCATTATCTGCTTATATTATATTATATAACTGCTTATATTAAGAATGGGACAAAAGAATGCGCTATCTGATCTCTTTCTGCATCAACTCAGCTTAGATTGTAAATACCACATGAGTGGAGACGGAAAGGACAAGCAATCTACCTTCAGCCCTTTTAAATTACCATTGCATTCTGGCATGCCTTTAACGCTGAAATAGGTCAGTAGCTGCCCTACCCCAAACCCTGTCTGTCTCTTTAAACGTATGCCCCACCAGGTACCTTGGAATGGATGTTCAGTTAACTCTACCCCCATCTGACCTCCATCTGTCTACTATCTTGTTTTATAATCACACGCCCAGTGTGAGAAGGTCTATATCTCATCATTCTGTCCTTTTCCCTGATTTCACCTTGTGAAAAGACGGAGAGAACAATAGCTTGTGTTCCAGGCAGCAGAGCTTCATTCTAAACAAATCCATCCGCTCCATTGTTTCCATCCCACTGATGGCTTTTATTGTTGTTTCATAATGCAATGAGAGGAGTTAGCACTTTCAAAATGAATGAACAGCTCTGATGATTAGTTTAATACTTTTACTGGCTTGGAACACATTTTTAAAGGTTACATAATGAATTTTAGCAGATTATATTGAGTTCTAATGTTTTGGATTAAACACTGATTTATGATGATTGTACTTGTTTGTTTGATTATGATAGGATGGATATTCATGTTTTTGCTGGCTTTGTTTGTGCATGACAGTTTGAAAATGTAACGATTGCTGATTTGAAAATGGATTGAAATTGTGAGGCATGAGTGTTTCTTTTTTTTGTCCTTTAATTGTGAACAACACTAAGACACTAATAGCAGACGGTAAGTCTGAGTGCCTCATGACAAAGCAGTTACCTGTTACATGAACGTTTTTTTATTTTTATTTTTTTATTTAACCAATAAGTTCTTATTCTTCATTTAAAAAATATGTTTTAGACATTTTGGGGTATAGATATGATTGGTTGGACAACAAACATTAACACAAGGCACACTAACCAGTTGGATTTGAGTGAGAACACTTTAATGTAGCATTTGGAAATGTAGCAAATTGAGCATGTGGGAAGAAACGTTCAAAAGGGCTTTGTCATAGCAATCCACACCCTGTCATGAGCAAATGATAAATGGATCTGGTGATCTATTTAAAATTTTTTTTTGCTTCAAATCATAAAAAGAAAACAAGAGGTCATGTTTGAGGTTACATAGGTGAAACCATCTTCTCCCTAAGTTAAATCGTCCCTCTTCTTGTCTTTAAAGTATGTCATCTTGAAATTAAAAATGATTTAAATGGATTCAACAACATGGTATTGACTCAGTTATTGGACTTACTGTAATAGCAACAGTTGAATAAGCAATTTATCCTGAGCCTTATATTGAATAAGATTTGTAATGGTCATCCTTATTGATTTCAGACATCTTGTGTGGGAATGGAAAGTAAAGACACTGTCTTTTCACTTACTCATCTCTCAATGACTCATCTTCTCTAATAGTAAGGTTATTTTTAAGACCAGAACCTCAGTGGTATACAGCATGTGGTAGTTGACAATGACTAATGAGCTTTCAAGTAACACTGCTGTTGTTAAGCAAGCAACAGCATTACTGTAGTGTTTAATAGCGTTATTTTCACATGATAATCTATTGTGTGTGTTTAAGGAGTTTGATACAAATCAGTGCTCAAAAGAGATTGATCTGTTAAGCTAGGCTAATAAGTCATTTGTTGTTATTCTGATGAACAGAAGGAACATACAATAGATGGTGTGGCAGAATCCTGATGTGGGAATGCCTTTCTTTAGAAGGAAGAAAGAGGCTTGCAAATAATTATGTCAAAAAAATTTGAAGCATTACTAGGAAAAACATTCTGTTAGAGGATGTTAAAGCTTTGACAACAAGGTAAGGGTTCATTGTAAACAACAAGATTACAACCCTATATACTGTAGGTTCATAGCACTAGAATAGCTGGATCACAGTCTGTTTAGACATTCAGGATGACTTAGTTTTAACTAAGAAGAAATACACTTAAATCTCCTTCTCTTAAGGCTTGTACAAATGCTTGCCTCTCTACTCTACTGGCCAAGACTGGAAATAATGCACATTTCTGTGGGTATTTCACATACGATTCTAAGGCATTAAGATTTGTGATTTTAATCATAAAAAGCTGAAAAAGTTACATTTTTATAAATAGTTTTGTAAAATAACATAAAATATGACCTTCCTCCAAAATCTGTAGAGAGATATTCAAGTATACAAGTGTCACAAACACAAAGCTTAATGTTCTTATTGGGATAATTATATTACATGGCTGTAGCCAGGTCATATTTCAGTTGTTTGTGCAAGTATTTTGATATTTTAATAGAATATGGATGAATTCAAATTAAGCTACTCTGAGAAAAGTATGCTTAGACAATGACTCTTGATTTTTGTTACAATACTGGTCCCTTAAAAACATACTGTAAAATAAGGAGTGTTCTTTTTTATATATAATTTATCATCTTTTAAACACAGTGTGCTCTTTCTAGAGCATGTATGATGAAAAAAATCTGATTCATTAAAGCACTTTTCAACCATTAGGAGGTAGCTATAAAAAATCATAAAAGACAAAGCATTTCATACAAGCGTGCTTGGTGATAATGCATTGTAGTAGAATAAATAGCTGGAAAATGTTATATTATATATTTGTTTTTATTAGACTTTAGTTACATGAATAGCTCAAGTAAAATCAATTCATATATCCAAAAATTCCCATAGTATGCTTCTTTAGGTAAAAGGGTAAAAACCTTCCTGTTAAACAACGAAAAGCTGCAAATGGAAAAAAAAACAAAAAGCTCTTTACTTAAACATAAAAAGATGACAAAAACCCAAATCAAAGGCCTGCTAATCAGCTCAAAGTGTTTTTCCCTCTTCTTGTAAAATAGGATGTTATTTTTAAAGAGTGGCTTTAATGATGTCACTGATGGGAAAATTTCTACTTAACTATTGAATAACTATACTAGTAAGTTTTAATATTGTTATTAACTCTATGAGGGAGAAAGGTTTTCTGTTTGTTGTTAATAGTTTATATGTTCTTTCTGCTGCATTTAATGGTTTCTGCAGTTCCTCTACTTCCTCTTCTGCTCTATTCTCAGTTGCTTTGCATTAGTTATTTGGCTTCACCTGATTTCAATCCCAGTAATCTTCTCTCCTAGCGTTGTCTTCCTCTTAGGTTCTATGATATTCAGTATGCTTTACTTTTAACCTTTGTTTTTGTACTACCTGTAAATACAACTTGTTATTGCAACAAGTACCACCAGTACTAACTCATAAAACAAATACAATACACAAATGGGTATCGCCCTATAACTCCTGCCTCTGATTTTTAACATTAACTTAAATCCATCTCTCATAAAAACCTTTTTGTATTGTGGTTAAAATTTATCATGCAATACCTTATAGGTTTCTAGAACCTTGAGTATATTTTTTGTTTGACTTAAGAGGATTTGAGAAAGATGATAATGTGTTACAGTCTTACAATTGCACTTTGGAGATGCATGTTTTATCTGCATAGTCTTTTTTTTTTTTAAAGTTCAAATAAATTTACAGCTTTCTAATTTTGGAAATACATTGAAAACACTGTAATAAATAAAAATTAAACCTGGAAATATTTGCTCAGAAAACAATTTAAAGTTATAATATAACTTTTGGCTATCTATACTTCACTGGAGTAATTGTTTGTTGGACAACTTTTTACTTGGACTCCTTACATTTCAAAAATAGACTCGTTAGTTTTGTTTCATTGAACCTCATTTTTGTTATGTAGTACAGTTGGTATTTAAAAAAAAAAAAAAAAAAAATCTATATAATTTGCTAATTTGCTTCATCCAGACAACTATTTTCTTTGTGGTCATTTCTGCACAAACATACCAAAATAAATAGTTTTTCAAAATGATTCAAAGTAAAATTTGACGCTGTTGTCATTAGTTATAAAACTAATAAATTTAGGTCTAACGAAATTATATTCCAGAATTGTAGAAAAATGTTTCTTGTAGTGCAGTATAACGTTTAAAGCTTCAGTCCTTAACATTTTTTCCTGCATTACCTTTTCTTTTATACTTAAAATAGTTTTAAAATGGTACTTTTACACTTTTACTCAATTAAAAAGCTAACTTCTCCAAAAGTGTTTTTAAACAGTAGAATTCCTACTTCTGTTTGAGTAATAAACATTAGTACTCTTAACACCTCTGCTTACTGCAAATGCATAGCAAATTTTATTAATTCTAGTTGGTGAGAACTTGTTTATTCTAGAACTTTCTTTTCATACTTCTTCCTAATGATGTCCTACTTTATTTTGGCTTATCACATAAAATTCTGATATCATAAATTAAAGTTTGTGGCTGTAACTTAAAAAATATTAAAAAAAGTTTATTAGGTATGAGTAGCTTTGCAGAGCACGGTAACCAATAACAGTGGAAATATAGGTTATGTTCACAGTTTTACTCGTGACTTATTTTGGTTTCTTTTTTAGGAAACATACTGCTAAAGAAAATTGTTATAAGCACAAAAAGGTTTCAACCACAACACTGGTTGGAGTGAAACAAATTAAGTTATTTTTTCTAGTCTTCTTTTACCCAATTTTTACATTTCAGCAGAGACCACTTAAACTCCTGGCAGATGGAACAGCCTGACTTGAACAATCCTGGCTACACAGGAGCCTCTACCATGCTCCCTGTGTGTGTGAATTCTTCCAGCCCTGATGACTTTTCATCCTCCTGGGTAGTTGTCATCTTCTTCCAACGCTGCTCATGAAAAAAAAAATATTGAAGATTTTGGCAAGACCATGAAGAGTTTGTGTTTATCAGTCATATCAGATTAGATTTATCTAGATGAAAATACGTAATAGATAAAGATGGGATTACATCCATCAATTCAACAACAGCAACATCTGCTTCTCACAAAGTATTTTAAAGTTAGCATAATATGAGTTTTTAGAGTGCCAAAATTTTAACAAATTAATGAGATATCGATAACAGAGGAGGTACCTGTTTGATGCTGCCTTTGGTGGTTAAAAACATGTAGATCACATAGCCTGGGATGAGGATCATTGAGGACAGGGCCATACACCATCCAATCACTTGGCCCCACAATGGATACACATACTTCCCAAGCATTAGTGGGGTCATTTCAATTGCACTGAAGGTGAAGACTCCCTATAAATGACAAATATAATTTTATTTGTTTCTTTGAATATATCTTTTGGTCTTAATATTCTTGTCGTAGTATTATGTTCAAAGATTATGTGAGATGCTCTGATTTTAACCCATTTTAAACTTTTCTGATTATTTCTGAATTATATTTTTAAACCTGCAACTGAAGATTTCGTAACTATTTATTTGTATGATACAGCTGCAAATAAGTATTTGAACACCTGTCTATCAGCTTGAATTCTGACTCTTAGAGACCTGTTAGTCTGCCTTCAAAATGTTCATCTCCACTCCATTTATTCTCCTAGATTAGACTCACCTATTTGAGGTCATTAGCGTGGCACCTGTCCACCCCATACAATCAGTAAAAATCCAACTACTTAAATGGACAAGACCAAAGAGCCGTCCAAAGAAATTAGAGACAAAATTGTACACCTCCACAAGGCTGTAAAGGGCTACGGGGAAATTGCCATGCAGGTTGGTGAAAGAAGATGCATTGTTGGAGCAATCATTAGAAAATGGAAGAAGCTACTGTAGTAGCCATTCAAAATGTCCCCACTTTCCTTGATGGGCCATTGGCTGGTCCTAGGCAATTCCTTTTTTATTATCAATCTTTGTACTAAAATATTCTGTCATAATTTGTGGACATTAAGATCTAAAGAGAAGTGTTATCTCCTGGTCAAACCCTGTAATTCATTCAATGAATGGTGGAGTCAGATTAAAAAAATAGGCACGCACATGGGAAAGCCATTGGCTGGAAGTTGGAGGGTATTTTGCTGGCTGCAGGGAAATGAGTTGCCATTCGGCCAGCTTTTGACTGGGAAGGGCCATTTTGAAAGGCTGATACTGTAAACATGACTGTCAGTCTCCCTCGGACTGTGGCTCCATGTAAGATGAGAAAGGTGATGAGAAAGGTGAGAAATCGGCCCAAAACTACACAGGAGGAGTTCATCAATTACCTAAAAAGAGCTGGGACCACCCTTTCCAAGTTTACTATTGGCAATACACTAAGACACCATGGTTTGAAATAATGCATTGCACGTAAGGTTCCCCTGCTTAAACCAGCACATGTCAAGGCTTAAGTTTATCTTAAGTTTGCCAATGACCATTTGGAGGATCCTTGAGAGAAAGGGATGTGGTCAGATGAGACCAAAATAGAACTTTATGGTCATAATTCAACTAATAACCGTGTTTGCAGGAAGAAGAATGAGGAGTCCCATCCCAAGAATACCATCCCTACTGTAAAGTAGGGGGTAGTAGCATCATGGACTGGGGGTGTTTTGGGATGACCGGGGCCCTGTATTGTGAGATTATTGTGAACAACCTCTTTCCCTTAGTTCATTGAAGACGGCTCGAGGCTGGGTCTTCCAACATGACAATAACCCAATGCAAACAGCCAGAATAACCAAGAAGTGGCTCTGAAAGACAGGCACGTGCAGAGGGGGGGGCTAAGGGGGCTTGAGCACCTGCCCCTTTTGCTCCATGATCCCAATGTGCCCTTTTGGTCCCTTTTTTTTTTTTTTTTTTTTTTTTATTATAATTTATTATTTATTTGACACATGTACTGAAATTATTATTATTATCTTTTTTTTTTGGCAAGATAAACAATACAATAAGCCCTCCGATCACATTGTTACCTTTGACCTTTTGCCGGTGACGACGCACTTGCCTCTCGCACAGTCAGATAAGGGGGCTAACTGCGGAGCTAAAGGTAGCGAATATTCCACATTCCACTGTGGTCGCTGCTCATTTGGCCCTAAGCAAGATCAACCATGATCGGACGGATGGCTATGTCTTCAGTCTGCACCGCCTCTCCAATGTCAACCTTAATAGAGATGTAAGTGAAACCAAATGAGCCCCATGCATGATGCAGTATTGTTTGATCTAAAACACTGTTTACTCTGTGCTTTTAGTCTTTTACATTGAAAATTATGTTTTTTAATTCACAAAAAACTGTTCTGTAATGATTACAGAACAGTTTTTTTGTGAATTAAAAAACATAATTTTTGGTGAAAATACTGGAGTAGGCTTCCTACTTGTCAGACAACGGAAAACTTTGAACGTTGTATAATTTCTCTACTTTAGCAAAGAGTAGCGGTTTAAACGGAGGAAAGTATAGGACGCGGCGCGCCTTTCTCTGAAGAACTACTGAGCGGGAGGAGACAGCCAGGTGAGGAAAAGCTGTTCTTATCTATCGATTCAGTATTTTTATCATACAGACATTAGGCTATTGTTCTTGTGCTATGAGCTAGCTGCTAGCTAATGACTTTGCTAGCAAAGCAAGATAACCAAAAAGCTTCCCTGTGTCGTCAATGATAGTAGGACATTCTTCAGTATTACTTATGCAATAGGGGCACATCGCCCGTCAAAAACCTATCATCTCCATAATGGATATATGTCTGATTTTCTAATTTCCTTTGCTGCATGATGTACATTTCATTTATTCTAGCGTTAGGTAAATGTATCTTAAAGGAGAACTCATCCAGAACTACCATGATAGATATATGATAGATATAATGTATGAAGCTGGTGAAAACAAAACTGCGCAGCTTATGCAAGGAGGATCGGTTGTCAGACCTTCTTTTGTTGGCAATCGAGAAGGATGTGCCAATCATTCACAGTGAGGTTATTAACATTTTTAAAGACATGGCTAACAGAAAACTGCTGCTGTGAACAAAAGAGAACAAAAATAGCAAAAATGCTTAAAAGATGGGAATTTGTTTTTAAACAGTTAAATCACCATGACGGAAAATAAGTTTTTGAATCATAATATTGGATTTAGTTTGGGGGAAAAAGAAAGGCAAGAGACTGAAATAAATAAGACATTGACCTTCACTCAACACAGAAAAGATGAGACAATGAGGAAAAAAAGAAAAGAGAAACTGACAAGAAAAAACGAAGAGGAAAGATTGAAGAAAATGAATATATAGGTACTTACAAAATACACTAAGACACAAACAGAGTAGGCTTTTCTCATGGTGACATTCATTAATAAAATGTTTGTTTTGTTCTTTTTTTTCTGCAGTTCTAGTTAAAGTTTGATGCAGCAGCTCTGCTTTTCTGAATGGACCGTCTCCATCTCCACTGTCAGTACAGCAAACCAGGCAGACATTCTTTTTTATAGATTACAGTACACTAAAAGAATGCATTGTGCCCTTGTATGCATTTTTAACAGTTTAATTCTGTAAAGACAAAATATGTCTGGTGGTCCAGCTCTGATTTACATCTTTGGCTAAATTGCAGGTTTGAATATTGTAATACTTTCCTATAACAAAATAGACCTGCAGAAATAAATTACTAATAAAATATTTTACATATGCATAGTTCTATGTTCTATGTAGAGATTTCCCTTAGCTTTGATTGTATGTCTCACAATTTTGTAATTTATCATTGTTCATTAAACTCTGAAAGCTATGTGACTTTGTTAATATTCTGTCCTAAAATGCGATAAGATGTGCCCTTTTTTCTTTTTGAGCACCTGCCCCTTTAGTGGTCTCTGCACGGCCCTGCTGAAAGAAGCCTAGCCAGTCTCCTGACCTAAACCCAATAGAGGATTTTTTGAGGGAGCTAAAACTCAGTGTTTATCAGCAACAGCCCAGAAACCTGACTGCAGTGTGTGCAAACCTGGTGAAAAACTGCAGGAAACATTTGACCTCTGTAATTGCAAACAAAGGCTACTGTACCAAATGTTAACATTGTATTTTCTTTTTAGATTATGTCTCTCACAGTGGACGTGCACCTACGATGACAATTTCAGACCCTCCATGATTTCTAATTGGGAGAACTTGCAAAACAGCAGGGTGTTCAAATGCTTATTTTCCTCACTGTATGTGGCTTTGTGATAAATTTAGATAATATGAGACAAATGTCTAAAGTGGGGTTAAATTGTTTAAAAATGTCACATGTCAAATGTAAAATATTATGGGCTTCTTTTGTGATAGAGCTCTTCTTTTGAAAAACTAATGCTTTTAGCTTTTCAGACTACTTAAAACAATAGAACAATAGTATGCTTAAGATTTAACTCTATCAACTTTTTTTTCTAAACTTTTTTTTCATTTCTGTGAGCCCCTTCTAAATTCCTTTGTCACAACAAAGCCTGGTTGTTTTTGAATTGAAGAGAAAAAGATGGAGACAACGATATAATCCTTCCTTCATAAATTTGCTATCTCATTAGTAAAGTTTGGATTTGGTCTTTTTGAAGAAATAAATATATACAAATTAAGATGTTTATTGAGCAGATAAAAAATATTATGACCAATAATTATGCCCTTACCAGGCAGATCAGTGGTGTAAAGAAGAGCCAACAGAGCTTCCACCAGATACATGGCCGATAACCAATCATGTCCTCAATATTCTTGTAAAACCGTTCAGCTCCTGTCCCAAAAGAGGCAGTTAGCAAAGAAAAAATGGGTTGGTGAAAGTGGGAATGAGAATAGCATGCACCAGATAAAATCTTTTATTGTGAGACGAGACTTCTTATTTGTAAACTATACTGTCAGCATTTTTAAAAATGTAATTATTAACAAAAAACACAGAAATGTAAATTTATCCCTACCATAAAACCAGGATATGGAAACAGTTTCAAAGAAGACAAGGAAGAGAAGACACATCCCACTGGCAGAGTAGTAATCAAACATCTTGAAGACATACAGACCACCCTGAGACATTAAGGAAACACAGTCATAAAGAAGAAAAGCTGCAAATTATCAAGTAGTTTGTGCAAGTTTATTGGAGCCAACTTCATCCAATTCATCCAATTACACATATGCAATGTATGACTCATTTACACTCACCTTCAGTAAAATTATCACCACTGGTTAAAAAAAGATGAAGCCTTAAAATCAATTATTACATAGGGTCTTTGAAAACCCAGCTATTTCTCTAGCGGAGCTTTAAAGAATTGAAGATTATTGTTCTTAGTTTGCCTGCAAGCAAGTTTATGTGATGATCCTCATGTTTTAAATATGTGTGTTTCTGTTTTCATAATTTTTTCTGTTAGTTTATTCATTTCAGATTTATTCTTTATTTGATTCTTTTAGATCTCTGATAGACTTTTACCCTTGTTGGGATATTTTCTTTGCTTCATCTTCTGCCTCTCTGTAGCTACAGAGAAAGTGTGTAACTAATTTGTATATCAGACAATCAGGTTTACTATTATAAACACAGGTTGCCATTGCTTAGCGTTCATTGTTCATAAATATATGTATATATATGGCAGTGCACACATTAGATGATGCTTTGTTGCATCGACATCTTTGATTACGACAGCTAAAAGAGGACAAACTTGTAAGGCTTTTGGGTCTTATCTGTATATGCAGATATGTTATTGGTGGAGGAGGATAATAACTGGAGCAAAAGCAACCATAGGTCATGTTGCTTTGCATTTTCAGTTAAAGTATATCCATTCTCTTCCAAAAAAAAGAAAAAAGAAGAAAAGGGAGGATTAAGCAGAAGAAAATGAGAGGCCACATCAGTTTCAATTTTACCAGGTGGAGACAATTCATGAGGGATGCGGCTTGAAATTCAATAAAAAAGTCAAGTTTATTCTCATGTTAAAGGTATAGTGGAGGATGTTCCTTTTCCAGGTGGATCATCAAAATAAGTGGTCCTTCTAATTGTCAGTCCTTCTGGTGATATGTTTACGTAAGGCCGTCCTATGTGCTCATCCCCATTTTCACTCACCAGTGGTGAGTCTGACCTAGTGGAAAAATTGCAAATCTTCGTTTGGAAAGTAAGCTTGTATGAGCGATGCAGAGACTGAGAAGCATGAGGAGAAATGGGCTCCTGCACGCTCTTGCACGTATTTAATAGGCATTTCCTCTTGGGAGCGGGTACAGTGTTGTGCATGTAAATTTCTTTTAAAAAGTGGAGAGGGCCGTTTTTTTCAAAAATTTACGAGAATCCTCCTCTATACTTTTAAGTTAGAAACATGGCAGTCCAGCAACAACTACCGTAATGGACAAGCTCCATCAGTTACTTTTATTGACGGACTTCACACCTGCAGGCGAGCTACTTCTTTCAGATGGATTTTCTGAAAGAACATGTATTTCATCATTTATTTTTGTTGTTTTTCAAAGGTTATGGGAGTTAAACTCATTCCTGTAGTCCACAGTAACACCAGTTCTCATCGAGATTTAATCACTAGAGCCACAAGCATTTTCATTCTAAAAATATAAAATAAGAAGATAGAGTTATTTATCTTTCTGCACCTCATGAGACAATTGAATCGATGTTGACATTGTCACATTTATGACATTCCTCGACTTCTGTAATGGATATTGCACATTTAATAGCAAAGCAGAAGAGTACGCTGCCACTTTGTAATTCGCTTAGCATAGCATGGCATGGGTCTTTAATTTGTTCCCCTCCGGATCCTCCTTTTATCATGCATTTCTTTTTTACGTTACTCTCTCCCTGTGCTCTGAGTGTGACTCTGTTGTGTTCCTAATCCAATGTTCTCTGTTCCTCCTGTATATTCTACTTCCCTCTTAAAGAAAAACTCAACATTATACTCATCCATTATGTCTGTGCTTTGGTCCTTTGCATAATCACAAAGTTGTGATAGTTAAGCTAACTAGCAACTTTCTGAAATATAAATACACGCCTATTTTAGATAAACACCATGTTGTTTTGTCTCTTTCCTTTTGAACGGTGGTGGCTTTTTACTAAATCATATTCATACAACAGGGAATAGGGAATTCATGGATTACTAGTCAACCTAAAAAAGCCAACTTGTACGAAAATGTTTTATTCATAACTGTTTTTCAAAAAAACTTTTAAAAACGCCAACTTTTGTGGCACCGATGATCTTGTAACTTAGGGAATTTGCCCTTTGACTTAGTATACTCAAATAATTATTCTTTAAATCTCTGCTAGAGGTTCTGCTAGAATAAAAAGATTTTTTGGAAATGTTTTATACACCTTTACCAGGGTGACATTATTTTTTAAGGGCACTGCATGCTGTGTGAATTCTTTCCCCTGATGCCATTTTTAAAAATTTAAATCGCACCCACCTGAGTGATATTAGAGAATCCAATGATGAAGGAGATTAAACAAACAATAAGGATGAAGAGCTTCTTCCTCTTCCTCAACACTAGGGGATACTCATCCATTAGAGCTGTGATGAATCCTTCAACGGTGCAGAACTAACAAATTAAGTAATGAAAATGAATGAGTTGAGCATGCATGCCCTAAACCAGAGAAATAAGTTTCATAAAAACCTAATCAGTACTCAGTTTGTTTTCTTCAAAAAGTTGCAAGTAATGTCTTCATGTGTTTTGAAAAACAGCTAACAAATTTTCAGTGAGGATTTTAGAATGCCTCTTCTACATACTGCAGTTTTTGCTTTGCTAAGAACTTTGGAAAACAAAAAAAAAAAAAAAAAAAAGCATTGCTAAACCTCTTCAATAAACATTACTCCATCCAACACCTACATGTTAGTTTACCATATCACTTCTTGCTCTGAACCCACAGACTGGCCTTAATCTTAGATAATGTGCTGAACCTTAGATTCTCCTTTTAACATGAAAACATTAAAGTATAATATCCAGCCACCTTAGGCTGCTGTTGGATAATGCAGCATATGATCTGAAGTAATCCAGCATCTCTGTCTCTTGATAGCAAAATAAATATGAAAAGCAAAGTTTTGGGGTGAACTAGTCCAAATTTAGATTTAAATCCAACTGAAGTGATCATTGTGAATTGTCTGTTTAATCACAGGAAACTTTCATACTCATTACTAGTTACTTCAAACTCTTAATATACTGTATTATCTTGCAAAAAGTTGTTTGTTGGATTGCTAATTCTAGAAACCTTTTGTTCCCTCATTTCGATAAATAATAAGTTGTCAGTTGCTCTTTTTGCTTATCGGTTTGTGGTATTTAATGCTCTTTGGTCTGAAACAAAGTGTGACAAAAAAACAAGAAATCATTAAGGCGGCAGACATTTAGTCACGACAGAAAACTTTTCGTTCATGTTCTGCTTACTGTGAAATGAGTAGAGTTTTAAAGTCATTAATTTGGCTTTGAACATCTTTATTGATACTTTTTTCAATCATGTTTTTTTTATTCATCATGAGTTCATAGTTCATAAGCATTAATTATACCTAAACTACCAAGTTTAAAAAAATATATATTACTTCACAGAAAAGCTTATCACTACTTTGGGTCACACAACAAAGAAATCCAAATATTGCAAGCTCACCATAAAAAAACAAGATTTTTATTTGCTTACCTGGCTGTCCAAACCGAGCATCATGAGCATTGAAAAGAAAAGGATGGCCCAGAGGGAAGACATGGGAAGCTGGGTGACTGCCTGAGGATAGGCGAGAAATGCCAAACCTGGACCTGTAATAATATTTATATTGTTTGTTACCATGACAGGATTGTTAAAACCTAAAATTATTTACAATAATTTATAAAATGTGCAGTTATACTAGATCTCTAGATACCTTTTCCAATCTTTGCTGTAAAAAACGTATGAATGTACCTGATGCTGCTAGTTCCTGCACTGGTTTCTTTGTGATGTAGGACATGAATCCTACAATAGAGAAGATAACAAACCCAGCAAACATGCTAGTACAAGAGTTGATGAAGCATACTATGATGGAGTCCCTGAAGAGATAAATAAAGACAACTGATTAGAGGAAAAACTGGTTATTGGTTGTCAAAGAAGATATTCAAAGCTTAAACCTCATGTGCTCACTTGTACACATCATTGTGGTAAGTGTTGTAGCTTCCAAGTGCGATAAGTGAGCCCAAGCCCAGTCCATATGAAAAGAAGATCTGAGTTGCTGCATCCAACCACACCTGAAATGATGAAGGGGAACATCCACATGTACTCATGCAGTACATTGTTGTGGTTTCTGAGAAAATGTGAGCCTTTGGTTAATAGAAACTGTGTACCTCAGATCTAACGAGCTTATTGAAGTCTGGGGTGATGTAGAACAGAATGCCATCAATGGCTCCGGGAAGGGTGACTCCTCGGAAGAACAGGATGAACAGCATGAAGTACGGATAGGTGGCCGAAAAATAAACCACCTAAGAGAGAAATAGAAAAAGTATCTCATGTCTAAAATAGTTTTTCTTTGCCCAGGGACCTTTTAAATGTAACTTGCAGTTTTGAAGCATAATCATGATGTCTAATTGTTAATGCCCATTGAGATAAGGGCCTTGAGGGATCCATTTTCTAACTGCTATCAGACTCCTCCAATTAAAAGCCAATTATCACAAGTTGTGAAGATGTAAATGTGTTTCTGCTGAGATACCTTGCTTCAACTCTGGGTAATTTAAATTTGCAGACAGCAGACGGGATGTTTTCTTTTTCTTTTTTTTTTTTTTTTTTTTTGCTTGTCTAATTTTTATATTTAAATCCTTAAACCATATGGACATAGGACTCCAGTAAAACATTCCAGATTCAGTGTGATGTTAGAGAATGTATTGGATATTATAAATGTATGTTTTGTTGACACATTTCAACGTGTTAACCAAGTTGGGTTATCTGTGCTCCATTAAAACACACAACTGTCTATATCTTGATGATCTTTAATTGTTACTTAAATATTGCTTCTTTTTGTTTTTAGTAAAGGTATCTCTAATTTGATCTTATGCCAAATACAGTAATAATAATAAATCTATTCTATTTTGCAGCAGATACTGATGGAGCCATGAAGGGCAAAGATCACAATATGTTTTAGGTCAAAGGGGATTTTTCTGCTTAATACTCTTCCCACAAACATATTTTTTCCAGTTGCCATCTTATTTTAGGTCCAAAAACACTGTCCTTAACTATAGGCCTTCAGTGCTTAAGGTGTTTTTCATATTCACAATAAAAACAATGAACCATTCTTGAAATAATTCTGGTTGGTCCACAAGTAGTGGTAAGATCTTTATCTGTTTCAAGCTTTCTGCCTTCATGAACTGAGTTCCAATGTTTTGTAACTATTTCTGAACAGCTAACATCACCGGCTAGCTTTTAGTCAAGTTCATGTCAGAAATTTTGTATTGATCCAGATAAATTTTGTCATTGGTTGGTAGGGCCCTTGGTACCCTGCGACCCCTCAGTAGCGATATCTGACTACCTAACAATGTCCCACATATCGCATTAATATCTACATGTATAAAAACTAATATGTATAAGAAGATAAATAAAACTGATATACTGTTGGAAGATAATGAGACAGTGCTTCTGCTCCAGTGCTCTTGGAGTGGAACACAAGATGCACCCTGAGTGCACTTTTATTTGTGTCTCACTATATTAGTGGATAAACATAAAATAAAAAAATAAAATAAAAATGAACATGGCCTATCTAGCAGGGAAGGGACTCCGAGGGGCGCCCTTTTTCGGTGCCCAGTGTCCATTCTGGCAAATGGAACCTGCCTTTAGGAGTCTTGGCTTGCTGAGATAACATTAAAACGATTATCATTATTATTATTTTTAGTGCTATTACCGCTGTACCATCAGAGAGGATAAAAATAACAACACTGAATTGATAAAGAAAACAGATTTTTATGAGACAGTCTAACCTTTCCCGTCCACTCTACTCCTTTCCAGATTGAGAAGTAGACAAGAACCCAAGCCAGGGCCAAGGTGCCCACCAAAGGCCAGCGCAGCTCTCCTGGCTCCTCCAGACCATTAGTAAGCTGGTGCATGTTACGTCTGCAGATACACAGTTAAATACTGAATATAATATTTTTATTATTTACTGTATGTGTGTTGGGTGACACGCAGGCCTGCTTCCTACTGACTTACTCCCAGAACTCTGTGACAGCGCTGGTCAAGTTGGTGGTGTCTGTCAGGCTGTAATTGGAGAAGCAGTTTTCGGTGTTCCAGGGATTATCACAGCTCTGCCATGGCAGCTCCTGAACAAGAAAGTTTAATCAGACTCCATTCAATGAACCATGAATGACAATTGAGTGAAACTCATGTTAGGTCTAAAAGTTGTGGAATTTTCTAGAAACATTTTGTCCTGATTAATTATACCTGTATACATTCATACATTTTTTAATATTAGATAGCACAGTCAAAGGCCGTTCTAAACAAATCCTTTTTTTTGTTTTTATTTCAATTTAAGAGTTTCCGTACTTTTACAGTTTTCTGGGAATTTATTCTAGATTAATGGAGTATAAGGACTAAAAGCTGTTTCTCCATGTATGTTTCTGGCCTGCGAGGTCTGGGCAGATGATATACTGACAACAATTCTGTAATTTATTTAGTATTGACAAGAAAAACTGTTTTGCTTTTCCTCTTCACTGAGACCCACTACAGATAAGAGGCCCACAATGTTAAACGGTGATCTTCTTGGAGCAACCTTAGACTGAGGTCCAGCATTACCAAGGAGGTGATAAAATACTAAGGAGGTTAAGATTACACTAAAGTCTGCTTTAAAGGAATGCTGCTGAATTTGTTTTTTTACTTATGCGTTTTAACTTAGGTCTGTGTATCATAATTGCATAACTCTATTCTGTCCTCTTGACTGTTAGCAGAAACCTGTCATGAAGAAAGAAAAAAAAAATACAATACATAAAAGAAATATAGCCTGCCTGGTGAGATTGGGTGTAAACATACATACCGAACTGAAGGAGTTGAATAAGTAGTAGAGAGCCCAGGCAATTATGATTATGTAGTAGATATTTAGCCAGAATGACAATACAACAGCAGCCAAACCAACACCTAAGGAGAAAGAATAAACCAAAAATTAATTGCATGACAATACAATTACAATCCAGCCGCAGACCCAAAACAGAAAAGGGGGCACTGTATGAAAAAATAAAGTGTATATATACATGTATACCTTTTGCCACATTTCCAGCTTAAAACATAGATATGAAAGATATAAAATTATAAAGTTTTGTGAAGAATCAATAATAAGAAGGACACAAACGTGAAGTGGAACTAAAATCATTTACTTTTTCAAACTTTTGTAACCGCTGAAAAAACTGTAGACTGAGGCCTGATTCACGTGCTCTGTTATAGTCTCAAAGGTCTCTTTAAACCGCAGAGAGCATCATAAAGAACAAGAAAAACACCAGGAAGATCTGAGATAGTGTTGTGGAGAAGTTTAAAGTGGGATTTGGACACAAAAAGTTTTCCCAAGCTTTAAATGTCCCAAGGAGCACTGTCCAGGAGATAATATCAAATGAAAGGAGTATGATACCACGGCAAATCTAAACAGACCCAGCTGTTTCTATAAATTTTCATCTGAAACCAGGAAAGATGCAGCCAAGAGGCCCATGATCAACTGCAGAACAGCTCTGTATGATGAACTGCAGAGATCTACAGCTGAGGTGAGAGACTCTGTCCGTAGGACAACAATCAGTCTTATACTGCACAAAACTGGCCTTTATGGCAGAAAGGCATCTCTGAAAGACATCCATAAAAAGTCTAATTTAAAGTTTTCCACAAGCCATCAGGAAGACAATGCAAATGTAGAAGAATGTTTTCTGGTCTGATGAAACCAAAATCAAAAATTTTGGCAATAATGTAAAACCTTATATTTGGCGTAAAAGCCACACAGCTCATCACCCTGAACACACCATCCCCACTGTCAAACATGGTGGTTTGGGTCTGCTTTTCTCCACAGGGATAGGGACATCATCTCCTCATGTTGATTCAGTCTTACATAACACAGTAAATACAAAGTGTTTGTTTGCATCCACTTATGTTGTCATACCAGTTATCATAGAATGGCTTCAGATTCAGCCTCCTACCTCCCAGTAGGCGCAGTAAGTTGGTATAACTGAATTAATCCTAATTCTAACCCTAAGGTAAACCCTTAGGGTTAGAATTAATTGGCAGTCCCATATTAAACACTAAAAACTAATAAATCTTATATTTTGTCAACTGAGCTGTAGAATCCTGTCCCTATAGATATTTAATCCTCTGAGAATTAAAGCAGATCATTCTTTAATAATATCCTTTTGAAAAGAACATGCAACATTTGTTTTAAAATGTAATGGGTCAGACCTAACGGACCTAGAGCAGTATTTGTTTTTTACTGCATACACAAAATTACCACAAAAACTCCTGAATAAATCAGGAAATTATACTATGTGATTGGCTCTAAGGAGAGCGTAGACAAACACTTATTGAACAAAACTGGCTTCCGATCAGGTTAGCTCTAGGATTAATGTTGCTACGGCAACAGAAGCAGAGGTTGAAGAAACTCTTTGTGAAATGAAAAACTCAGATTTCACCTTATTTCCGGTTTAGAAAACTTAGTTTTAAGTAAACTTGCTTTGTCAAACAGACCCATACCTAGTTTTACTGTTTAAAAATATTTCATTACATATTTTAAAATGTATGGATTACCTTTCATCATAGGAATAAGTCTCCACACCCCTAGCCCACCTACTGAGGTGAACTGTCCCAGCGATGTCTCTAGGAAGAAGAGCGGTATCCCAGCAAACACCAGGGTCATAAAGTATGGAATTAGGAAGGCACCTGAAGAACAAGCAAAACAGATACTAATATACAGCCTGTTAGTAATATTTACAGCAATAAAGAAACTGTCTTTTTTATATATCACAGTTCAAAAGCCAGAGAAATTAAAAATTGCTTTGGTAGGCATAACAGATTAGGTTTGACATGCTTATTGAGCCTTGCATTGTTAATTTTTACACTAAATTATAGGTTTGATTTAATTACTAAAGTAGATTATTCACGAGGCACATTTCCAATTCAACTTGCTGCTGGGAACATTGTAATCTTATAGTAAGAAGAAAACGCATTTTTAAGCACCTAATCTAAATTAAATGTAAGTTAACAGAGAAATGACAATCAGATTTTCTTCAAATCGGTAGAAATGAGTCGCTGTAGTTTGATGGGAAATGTTTTTACTGTGGTTTGGAATGAAGTATTTCACAATCATTACTTCAAAATTTCAAGTCTTTAGCCTTTCTGTCAAAGGAACTTGTCTTAAAGTTACAGGCAAAAGTCTTTTTTATATAAAAATTTGGATCCGTGGTCTCATTCTTGCAGTTTTAACTTACCTCCACCATTTTTGCCACACAAATAAGGAAACCTCCAGACATTTCCCAATCCAATGGCATATCCAACACATGACAGCAGGAAGTCAAACTTCCCCTTCCAGCCTCCCCTGTCGGGTGGAACCTCCTTTTCCTTCTTCTGTTCTGTAGGGGGGCCTGTGGAGTCCAGGTCCTCAGAAGGGACAGCTTGTTTGACCTCTGATGGGGAGCTTAAGTCCACTGTACTCTGCCCGGTCTTCCCCATCGTGGGACCGCCCTGGTCCAGAAAAGCCTGTTGTCCTGACAACCAGAAATCAAGCAACTTGGTGTCGTTGGACTGAGGATGTTACTCTTGGTCCGGATCTGGACTGGATCTCAAAATGATGTGCTAACGTAAGATGTGCTGGAAATATAGGTAAGAAGATGTAGCATTAGGTGTAGTATACATTGTTTTATAGTTTCATTTTTGGATAATCTTACATTTATAAGAACTGCATTAAATTGAGACAACTTGAGAAGTCTTTCAAAATGTTTTAATGTAATGAAATGCTGGAATTCTCTACAAATTTATCTCATAACTAAATGTAACGTTGAAGGAAAAATGTTTAAGGCTTTTTTTTTAGCAAAAGCTTTTACAGGTCTTTTCTAAATAGTTTTGCATTTCTGAAAACTGAATTTTCACAATACTTCTTTTTATAAATTGCCCCAAAATTTGTTAGATTGCACAGAAAATGTGGAACTCGATTTACATGTCTTTCCACATCTTAATCTGTGAGTTATTGTCCTCAAGGAAGGTGAACTGATTATGATGTCTTAGGTGGTTTGTAGCCTCTTTCGAGATCGACTAGTACTAGCTCCATCCATCGAGCATTATCTCTGATCTTCTCTATTCCTTTTTGAGAACAGTATCCCCACTACAAGTACTGTAATGTTTCACTGTAAGGATGGTCTAGTCAGGATTATAAGCCAAGTTATCTCCTCACAGGTCAAAAAGTAAGATTGTTATACTTTGTAAATCCTTTTTATATGATAACCTCTTAACATCCACCTCATTTTGGGGAATCACCTATTTTGCATACCCCTAATGGAAAATCAAATAACTTAGGAACTGTAAGCACAAATTACATGTGTGATGCATTATTTGAAAGCAACCTTCCAGTTTCCGAATATATAAATGGAAATTGGGTGAGTAAAACACAGCCCAAGCTGCATCAGTTACAACATGACTCAAAGTTGTTTTTTTTAATCCTCGAAAATAATAGGTCTTTTTTGTACAGCAGTAATAAAGACTTGCTTGCTTGTGTGGCTGCTGTGTCATGTTTACATTTTGACATGCTGCTATATCTGTGCTAATTGTGCTTTGGTGCTTGCTATGTCCATAAAATTAACTTGGTGGTTAAATTGTGGAGAATTGTGGAAGTTTTCCAACAATGTCTAACACTTCTATATTGGTATACATTTTACCTGTGTAATTTTCATGCATTCTGAGTCATTAAATGTAAATGCTTTAACTGTTTTCCAGAGATGGCATGTGAACAATTTAAAAGTGGATTCTATAGACCTTCCAAGACCACATTTGTGAAGTTAATAACCAGAAGTGGTGCAAGACTAAGAATTTTTCCACCTGAGCAAAGGATGTTTGCAGCTCTCCCAGAATTACTAGACAAACCTGGCAGCTAAAAAGAAACTCTAACCCTTAAAAAGTAAACGCCAATATCAAAGCATAAATGACCACAGAAAAAAATTGGTACATGCAACCAAAGTGAAAGAGGAATGGTCAAGTTTTTGAGCATGAGTAAAAGGGGTTTAAGTCAGGATAATAATAAAATACAGTACATTTGATTTGACTAAATAGTTTAAGCACTTAAAAAAAGGCTTTGTTAACTAATAGGTTAGAAAAACACTTAAAAACTTTTAAAAGAATCAAATACTATAGGTTCTTGCACATATATAGAGTATATCTATATCTATATTAGGTCTTTATTGGGCTGCATCCCAAATAACAGCATTATAAAAAAAAACTGCTGAAAAGTTCAAGTTATGCTAAAAGTAGCAAATAGCTTAATGAAAGCCATCCTTCCCCACACATTACTATACATCTTTATCTTATCTAATTACCATATCCTCTTCTTTTTTAGTTGCTTCTATTATTGTTTTATTACAAAAAACAGGATCCATATTTTTAAAATCACCAGCACATCCTATTAGTTTAGTAAAAAAAGTCTTTATTTCTTTTTTAATAATGCATTCTTACTCATTTTTACTGTTTTTTTCTTGATTTTCTGAAATATAATCCCACATTTCACAATCAGCAGCCCGATACTTGTAGTAACTGCTCCTCATGTTTGCAAATATTGACTGACCTTGCTCAGAATGCTTTAAACTCATGATGTTAACTATGGATCATTCTCTGAATTGTACTTCTGCAATAGGACAATCTGTACTAAACTATAATTATAATATTTCAACCATATAATTACAAAAACTCTATAAAAAAACAGATAAAGTTCATAACATAATTAGATTAAACTCTTCTCTTGTTACCCCAGATAGGATCACTTATTTCGATTCACTACTTTCCAGAATGTTCCATCACATACATCTAAAAGTGAATTATCAAGAGGTGGGGGGGCCCCCTGGACAAGTACATGCACAAGGAAATAATCAAAACTATGCAGAGTTTTCGTTGGTATTGTATGCAGTCTGCTAAAAATGTTAAAAGTGGGAAACAAAAAATGGTAGTAAGCTTCTGAATTCACAGATGCTTACAATCAATATCAATTGATGATTTTCATTGTGCAGTGCATGCGAAAAATAATTTTAACTAAATTTTAAATATGTGAATTTACCACTTATTTAAACAAATATACTAATTTTGAAAAGGCTGAATAGTTCGTATACTATTATAAACTTCCATAGATATATTTTTAGTATTACAAGCCTTCAGCGATGTCAATAAAATCAGTCATTAGAAAACAGTAATGTATATTTGGAACCATGCATTCAATAAATGTATGTAAAAATAAAAGATAAAAATAAATGTCACTGTTTGGAAAAACTGCTATTTTCTCATGCAAAAGGGGAATCATCTCCAGTTGGGCATTCTAAAACTGTATAATTAGATGATTAATTTCGATTCAGGTTAAAAAAAAAATTTACTTACTACCTTTATTCACCTTTAAAGTCAGATGTTTGTGAGGGTATTAATGTACAAACGTTTTGCCCAATAGATAAATTTGTGAACTCACCTTCGGGAAAAACCTTGTAAATATGAGCATGCAGAGGGTAGCATAGAGGTATATCTACCGCTTAGTTCCCAGCTCCTTAGTCAAGTCTTTCGTTTTAGTACTTCACACCAGATCCTGCATTATCACTAATCATCAATTCAAAAATCCAAAGGAAAACATAAAAAGATTCCCATCAATCCGAAAGGCCTTGATAATTTAACAACATATCTGGCAGCCTGTTTTAAATTTTGAAACTCTCTCATGTATGCAGTCATTTGGAGGTGGAAGATCGTGCGGCTTGTATCGAACATTTAGCACAGTTCGACCCATACACTTTGATTACAGCTCCGGTATGACTGGTGAAGCCCTGCGGCCTGAGGGGTGCTGGGCGGGGGGAATACTGTACGTCAATTGGTCAACTCTGGTGGGGAACTCTTGCAGCCATGGTGCAAACTGAGTTTCTGCATTGTACAATAGTGTTTGCTGCAGTCAGCTCTTGCCATGTTACCATGGTGTCTTTTTTGCACAGAAGGATCTGATGGATGAAAGACCTCATGGAGTTTGGAAAAATGAAACTAACAGTGGGAGCTGGCAGAGGCAGTGGATATGTATGAGCTCAAATGAGGTCATGGTATCAGACTGGTAAATATGACTTGAATGGCCAGACACAACAAATATATACAAGTTTATTGACAATAAAAATGTAATCTGAATTTTTCAAGATTTAGCATTGTTTTGGCATTTGAAAAAAAAATATTGTAATATTGAATGAGTCACTGTGGCCCCAGTTTTAATAAAAAAAGCTGGTTTTAATTTAAAAAAACAAAATTTCTGTCAGCACTTATTTCAATACATACAGTAACACCAACATGCATTTATTCAAAGTCACAGAATAATTGAATTACTGTTGCAAAATAATGTTCCTTGAAAAAGAAAGCATCCATAAATGTTAAATCACTGTAATATTACAAAACCTCAGTTTATTTTATTAACATGTGTGAAAGATTAACAAAATCCAGTGTATATTTTAAAAAGTTGTGCATTTTATAAAGTGGAAGGGAAAGTTGCTGGAAGATCCCAGTTGGATTGCCGTATTTGTAGCATCAACTCTCCTTGAGTTTTATACTATAACCAGGTGATTTGGTTTAAAGGGGAATGTACAGTTTAATTTTTCCACCACACATAAAGGCCAAAAAGTTTATGTTTGGTCTTGTCTCATCAGAGCACCTTCCTCACCATATTTGATGATTTCCCATCATTTAGCAAACTGTTTTGAGACATCTAATGCTTTCTGAAACATTATTGAAATTCAGCTGTGTATCTCTGCAGCTTCCACAGATTTACTACAGCAAATGCAATAGGTTATTTGCAGAGTACATTTGTACTCAGCAAATAGCACAACTACAGTTTTCACTTCAATTTAGGGGTGATGAGCTTGTTTGGTTCAAGATGGGGGTGTTGGTGGCAGTGATTAATAAATGCACAGGGCACAGCAAAGCCAAAGGCCTGTTAGCTCCTTTAGGTGGATTGCAGTGTCTTGGTTAGTTTGCCCATGTGCCATTCACGAAGCCTAGGCAAAAGTTCAACTGAATAAACTGAATCACTTACCCCATCAAATCAGAGGATTGTCCATCTAAAAAGCAACCTAATCAAACCACACCTCCACAAAGTCCAATCAGCTATTACTGATTCCCCCTGGTCACGGAAGCTTCCCAAATTGCCAAGTCATCTCTTCCTGCAACCTCATAGACAGATGTCCTACCCCTCCCCATTCCCCCTCCACCCCATCATTCAGGCTCGCTAACTTCCACCCTGGGTGAACTTTAGTAAGATGTACCCTGTCATGTCATTTTTAATAAATGTTTATACAGTCATAATCTTGGCGCTGCCCAGTTTCTCATCACTGCCCATCTAATCCACCTGCTCCTGCATCTATTTAAGCTGCTTTGTCCCAGACATCAGTGTAAGATTATTGTTGAGCCTTTGGTGTGAGAGTTTTCTAGGATAACTAATTGTGTTCTGGTTGCATGATCCTGACCCATTTTTCTTTTTGATCTCTTTGCCTGACCTGTCTGCGGACACCTGCTGGATTCTTCTTATGGTCTGAAACTTAATAAATACTAAGTGGCTGATTGCAGCTGCTTCAGATGTTATTATGGCCATTATTAGCGATTATGAGTCCTATAGAATGGCTTCAGATTGTGCCTCCTACCTAACAGTGGTCTCAGTGGGTTGTTATCACTGAATGAATCCTAATCCTAACCCTAAAATAATTCCTGTTTTGCTGCAGAATTAATTTATCAATTTATTGTATTTGGAAGATTATTTTACTACTACTGTAAAAAATTATTTTTATATATATATATATATATATATATATATATATATATATATATATATATATATATGTGTGTGTATGTGTGTGTGTGTGTGTGTGTGTGTGTGTGTGTGTGTGTGTGTGTGTGTGTGTGTGTGTGTGTGTGTGTGTGTGTGTGTGTGTGTGTGTGCGTATGTTGCTCATATTAAACAAACCGAAAACAAATAAATCTCATATCCTTTCAACAACCCTCTCTATAAATATTTTACTCCATGTGAATTACAGCCAATCATTCTTTAATAGGATCCTCCTCAAAAGGACATGCAATGTTTGTTTATAAAACCTAATGTATCTAATACACCTAGTGATTTTTTTTAATATCTTTTTTGATGTGCACAAAACTGCGACAAGAACTCCTGACTTAATCAGGAAACAAAACAACTGATTGGCTCCAAGGAAAGCAGAGACAAAGGACACTGAGTTTATTGAACAAAACCTGCTCCCAACCAGGTTAGCTTCAGGGAAAGGGTTACTATAGCAACAGAAACAGAGGTTGACGAAACTCTTTTTGCAAATGGAAAACTCAGAGTCTTTCTGATTTTATATCTAAAAAACAGGGTTTTCAGTAAACCTGTCTTCTGACATTTGCCCCTGCAAGCCTGATTCTAAAGGTGGGGTACATGATTGACAGCATCTTATTGTTTATAGGTTTTGCTGTAGAAATTTAATAGTCTTTGTAAAATAGATTGAAACCAGGAAGGAACATTATTTTGAAATATTTATGTTGTATCGCTCAAAAAAAAAAGTCAGATAGTTGAGGCTTGGGTGTGAATGGTTATTTGATCCCGATACCATAGAAAATGTCAACATAGTCGGAAAGGTGTTCAATAGCAATCCAGCTTACAGTCCTGAATCACTTACACTAGACCCATGAAGGAGATTGTCTAAAATATTGAGAAAGATCTTTTGAGAAATGATACTCAAAATCTTTGGCTTGACAAATGGAAATGGTGAGTATACAGTTTTGAATGTAACGGGAGGGGAAAGTGACTTTCCTCAGTATACTTGCATTTAGAAGATGGAAATAATTCCTATTATCCTACTTAAACTAAACATTAAAATTTGATTTAATTACAGAGGAAGATCCTTCAGTGGCGCAGTGGTAGAACGCACTCTCGTCTCTCCCCTTCTCTCGTACCCCCGTTCCTGTCAGCCCATTGTACAAAAAACGAGCCACTGGTGCAGTAAAAACCTACAAAAAAATGCTTACATCTGCCTTAAACCTTGGTCTAATTTGTATAATTCATATCTCTAACCTGATCCAAACTTTTGTTTTCATGAAATTCTGTCCAACATCCCTCCTCTGTCCCCCCTGTAATTGCTCCCTATTATTCTTGGCAGTAGGTGCTCTCACAGCATAATTAGGCTCTATTGATTGTGGGATGCTGTAAACAAGTTGACTGGAATCAGCTTTGACAACCTCAGTCCCATTCCCTTCCCATTTATCATCAGTTGGGCCCAACATCTCAGTGATTCTAAAAAAAGAAAACATATTCGTTATGACAGCAGTATTTTCACATTAATGTAATTAAGCCTTTTAAATGATTTTAATCTTTGACTTTTAAAAAACCTGACCAATGGACCCCCTTTCGTCACTATAACAATAGCATTTGGTGATGCTCATTAGCTTTCCACTAATTGGCTGGTAATAGTGTAATAATAAAGCCAAGGGGTTACCTGCCAGGAGAAATAACAGCCTCATATCTAACTGGAAATTTCATTAAGGATATTGCTAAGCTGTAGGTAAAATAATTAAACAGAGAGAAAATTCCTTCTGGGCTAAGGTCTACAATTATGGTCTCTATCATGGTTAATTATAATTAAAGTAGGTCTGTCCTCAAAACATGTTCCCTTCTGCAACACAAGTAAGCATATGGACCGAAAGATGGATAAGAGAGCATACAGGATAGTGGGCCCTGAGGATCAGGGTTGAAGCCATTTTGTTAGAGAAGTGAAGACCATTATAGAGGTTGAGGAGCGAACAGACAGATATATTAAAAGCCCAAAATATTAACACATCATATAGCATCATTCTATCACTCACACGACTAAAGAAGGCAATCAGAATTTATTGATACAAAATTTACATTTTTGGCACTCAGACCTCGGTATAAAAACATCAGCATTGAAATTTGCTGTGATTGTAGGCATTATCTGAAGAATGTGAATAAGGATGAAAACCCCAGCCCAAAACTGGTGGTGGAACAGAAATAGAAGATGGATGACAGCTTGAATGGGGGACAGGTTCATATGAACATCTGTGTTGAGCAGGCATGGAATTACAGTGGAGAGGAAACACTCCCTTATTGAGAAGAAATCTCTGGCAAAACCAGGCTCAACATGGCACTCTTCTGCAGACCAGCTGGGGATGCCTCATGACTTCAGTAAAACCAGAGGGATGATCTGATAGAAGCAGGGTGGCAGCAGCGGGAACAAGGGGACAAATGCAGCTTGTGACAGAGGTGAAGAAGTGAGTGGAGGAGGGTTGAGTCACACAAACAAAGTAGGCAATCAGAAGAATTTTTTGGTACAATATTTCACTTTTTGGCACTCAGACCTCAGCGTGACACTACTTCGTTGAAATTTACTTTGTCCTCTGTCACTTCTCTGTCTAAAAAAAGAGGATGTCTTTGAATTATTGCAGGAAAAGCTGAAGCTGCGAAGGCCTACAAACGGAGAATGGAGTGAATGATGAGAAATGAAGTGAATGAAGGAATTAATGGAACCTGGAGTGGTAGACTGTCCAAAAAGAATTACTGTAATGAGAAGGGAGATAAATGGAAATAGAAATTACTGAACTCTGCTGAGCAAGAGCCTGTAGAAGTTGACAAGGCTCAAACTGATGAGAATGGAGTAAGAACCACCACCAGTAATTGAGTAATCCTCATCCAAAGTGCGGCCCACAAGCAGCATGCCATGGCTATCAGAGGAACTTCTTCTTCTTCATGTAAGGTTTTATTGA